GGCATGTTTGTCAAAAACACCGTGTTTCGCACTGGAAAAAACACTGCAGTTAATGTCTTTTAACACTAAAGGCTTTTTTATCCTTTCGGCAGACACGCAGCGCTGGCCATGGGAAGAGCTCTGGCAACAGGGCGGCTGTAGCTGCCACCCTTGCACACATGACAGCACCCGCTCCTCAAGTACCATTCAGTATAACTCTACAAAATTAGAGGATTGTTATCAAAGAGGCTGCCTATTTTCTGTTTCAATACATTTTTTCCCCTGCATACAAAGAATAAGTCTTGTTTGGTTTCTTTCTGTGCACTTTTTGCTGCTACCATCTTCACGGCTACAAGAAAAGCTTCCTGACTACAGCGCAGCACACGTAGAACATCGCCTTCCATATTGCCTTGTAATCCCAGTTTATTGCTGAACAGAAACTCCAAAAAATCATTAGAAGAAGGAAAAAGACGCGGTCCCTGTATGGAAGTTTTGGACCATCAGTATAGCCCTTTAGTTCAACCCCACGGTGCTCCACACCAGTAATCCCTTTTCACTGTATTGCATGCGTCTCCGTTGTGGAGGAAAGCAAAAAATCCGGCTTTTCCAGCTGTCCTTCCCCAGCGAGTTTCTCCGTGTGTCCTTGGTGTCTTTTTGAGATTGGGTGTCCAGCACGGCGCACAGCGCTCGCCAGGAGGACACCCTGCTGATTTACAGGACATTTTAATTCAGTCTGCACTAAGCACTGCCTTCTACAGCTTAGCGGCTCCTGCTTCCAACCACGTACATACTGAACAGTGCACAACAATTATCGATAACTAATTATTCTATAATAAATATAGAATAATATAGAGTTTATATGTAGAATCTTCATTAATGTGCAGTGTTGAACAAGTCCTTTTTCTCCCCCCCAACTACGAAGCAGGATGCTTTTATTCCCAAACAAGCACGTCCACGCATGGAGTTATTCAGGAATAGCTGTCACGGTGCACGAATATCCCCGATTTAACCAGGCACCACGGAGCTTGTCCACACACTGCGGGAGGGCTGGCGAGGCCTGGGCCCGGCCCTGCATGGAGCCGCTGTGGGTGGTTGATTGTAAATAAGAAAACCCGCGAGCAGTGACACAACCTCACCTCGCATAAATAAACGGCATAAACGGTCGTGTATTTTGATAAACAAAACGCAGAATGGAAATAAAACGGGAGGGGAAAAAAAGACTCGGTAAAGTAACGCCGTAGAGAACCGGGCACGGGGCTCGCGGGTGATTTTCCACGGGGAAGGCCGCGGCGGCCGCCAG